GAAGAGTTTGCAACCTGCTTGAATAAAACATTTCTGAAATTCAAGACTGATCTTTTGATTAACTGCCATCATAGTCTTTCCAGTATATTTAACTGTTAATTTTTGGTGCTGACTGCAATTTTGGTTGTTAACCCAGTGAGGCTTAACATTTATGACTCTGTTCATGAATGTGAGAAGACTGAGTGTTCAACAGGCCTTGAAGGTGCAGCCCCTTCCCAGCCCCACTGTCCCCTCTGGTGTTCTTCTTAGTGCTGTCAGTGTGCACATTGCTCCACAGTTTTTGAAGTACAGATTTGACTATGATAGGTACATTGTTTTGAGGTACACGCTACAGAGCAAGAAGTTTCACAGATGTTGGTCAGCTGTGGAAAGGTATTGCCAAGAACTGCTGAAGCTGTTTCTAGATGCCTGCTAGCAAGAGGCTAGGATACGGTACTACAAGGGTAAATATTTCTCCATGTGCGTGAGGTGTCCCAACCAAATTGGGGTACCATGAGTGTGGTTTTACACAGGGTTCTTATACCCTTCAACACTACTGATTAGTAATCATAGTAAAACTTTGCAAAGCAATTCTATTTCTGCAGCATTCTTGCTGCTTGACTATGGATCCAGACGTCCCTGAAGTCAGTCTTGCTATAGTTACTTATCTATGATGCCAGCTGATGCTGGCATTATCCTGGTTGTCCAAGGGTATCTTTTATTCGTCGTGGACAGCTCTAAGCTTCTAAGAAATAAAGTCCTTATTCACAGGGCTAAGCTGTCTTTTGGGTTCTTTTACTTAAGCATACTACTAAATTTTCCAGTAAAATTCCACTACCAGACTACATTGCAGTGTATAATGTGAACTAATGTATGTTAACAAAGTTAATACACTTTTGTATTATAAAAACTGATTGATGTAACAGGGAAGGGAACTTTCATAGTGAGTAAATGTGAGCCTTGTGGTAAGAATGCACCTGGTTATGGAAATTTAGGCTATGTGAGTAGTGTCAAGGAAGACTTGACTGCTTTGTGAAAGCTTAAAGTCCTGTCTATTGACAAGCTTAAACTCTGAGCTGTAGGCTGTGACCAACATGTACTTAAAGGATTTTGGTTTCTTAGGCTTATAAAAAGTTAACTACTGACATTTCTTATGCCAAGACAGAATTTCAAAAGTAGCTGAATGCAAAGTAAGTGTACACTGCCTGCTTGATCTTGATAAGATTTGAGAACAGAGTTTCCTAAGACTGCTTCAGAGCTCCTGGTCCAGCCCTAGCACAGATTTCTGAAGAGGCGGTGATGGAGAGCAGATGTTTCTTGGCCTGTTGTGCATGCTTCCTGAGCCTCTCGGGGAGGATGGTGATTGTGCCAGTACCTGAGACTTGGGAATAGAGGCATGGGGTGCTCCTTGCCTGCCCCAGACACAGAAGGACAGGGCTGGCTTCCATAGGTGCTGTGCTGAAACAAGAGAAGGCAGTGGTGGCCCCAAGTAACTTCATGATTAATTCACAGAGTGATGGTTTACAGCTACTATGAGGAAGAGTACCAAGAACTCAAGAGCAGTTTCCTAGAAGGCTGAAAATTTCCGTGTGCCTAGCACTTACAGGTGCAAGTACCAACATGCAGGCTTTAAATAATATAAGGCTAGGCAGTATTTAATCAAATATCTGCAGCCTTTGTCAAGAGTATGCTTCACTTGAACTCAGACAAGACTATGCTGCTGTGTGCTGGTGCTATTTTGCCTTAGTCCCTGAATTTACAAGAGTGGAAGCTTAGCATTTACTTTTTAGAAAATACTTCATTTAAAAACCTCACTAATTTCAGTAATGCATTTATACTTGTTAAGGCCAAGTACTGATGTGAAATAGCAATAAGCACAGTATGGTGTTTGCAGTCTAGAAGCCTGGTCAGACCCACGTGAAGTTACAAAAAGAAATGAGTGAAAATTAAATAAACATTTCCAGTGTCTTTTTATTTGTTGCCATTGGATTCAGCATCTTTATTATATTTTGCCTAACCCCTTTTCTCTTTTCCTGCTTCCTATCCCAGTGTCCCCAAAACTTTGGTAATTTTTTGATGCAAGTGCCATGCTTCTGACACCCAAATGTTCTTCCAACAGTCTTTGTCAGTGTAGCTTAGGTTTTCCCTTACAGATCTCATGAGACACAGCAACATGTTTCAGTTCAAATCTGTAAAAAGAACTGCACAGGGACAGACTGATTTATTTTATTTGTAGTTATATGAGTTTTGTAGCATAAGGAATTTAGTCCAGTGACTGGAACTGGCCCACGTCACAGAACCCCAAGGTGCCGAGGCTGGAGGACACCTCTGGAGACCTTCCAGTCCCCATCCTCTGCTCCAGCAGGGTCGGCTACCACAGGTTGCCCACAACCATGGCCTGCTGGGTTTTGAATATTTTGAATATGTGGGGAAGGTACTCTTTGCAAGTAACAACTTTCCCTGAAGCACAGAAAAGACTTTAGCTCTTTCCAAGCTGCTGGTAGTGACAGTGCTTTGGAAGCTTTTTTAAGCTTAAGGAGAAGATATGGGAGCTGCGGCTCTGCCATTTGGTGTTTGATGTTGGTTTGCCAGCATGGTTTATAATCAGAAGAGGATCACCAGGTGTCCAAACCATTGCTTGGAGGGAAAGTGGTTACACAAATTATGGACATGCAGAATTACAAACTGTAAGAAAACAGCCAGACTGTGGTAGACAGCTCATCACTGAGCAGGTTGTGATTAAGATGCCAAATATTTGCTTTTATCTTCACTACTTGTTTGCAAGGACTCGTAGGAGTGCTGTGACCTTTTCTAACTATTGTGCAGTTCTCTTTTACCCCTTCTGATTTCTGGATAAGCAGCTCAGCATTTGGCAGGACTGTTGGCATTGTGTTAATTCTCTGGCTCCATGGTTGACTCAGTTTTTCTGTATGCTTTCTGCTGATTTAGAGCTATTCATTCTGTCCTCTTATTCCTACATCAAATCCTCCCCGGAAAACTCTGCTTATAGCTAGTGTTTAGAGCCCCATTGTTTTTTCCTACTTTCTATCACTCAAAAGGGCAACAAAAGGTGCCCTGGTGCTTGGGAAACTTTTAGACAAGAAAAATTCCCCAAACTGCTTCAAAATATGGATTTTTATTCGTCACTTAATGTCTTGTTTTACCATGTTCTGTTAAAAACCCCTCACATGATTACAGTTATTTAAGTAAATAGTTCTGAGTCCATATGTGACCTTGTAGACACTTTTAAAATATTAATTTTCCACTTTTGGGTGGAAGGAATACTTAGTAATTCAAATATTAAAATAAATCACAGTTAGTCTAAAAACTATTTGCTAACAGTCAGATCACAAAAAGATTAGGACACAAAATTGCCCAACTTTTTCTGTACTGTATTTTCAAGGTTGGTGCAAATAAAGTAACTTTTCAGGGAAGTAGGTTTTGAATCACTGTAAAAAAATAAGTATTATAGTTATTATGATAGTCTTTTGCATCTTTTTGAAGAGGAAATAAATATTTTTATTGGTTGTAGTGGAGACTTAGCTGACTTCATTCCCATCAGATATATTAGTGAATGCTCCAGATGTGCAGAAAGCAGACACTTTCCAGATGTAAAAAATTATCTTTGGGTTTTTTTTGGCTGATTTACAGTTGTTATTTGTGTTTGGGCCATATTTATTTTAGGTAGGAAGCGGCCTCATTCTTTTGAACAGAACTTGATGCAAAGCTTTTTGTTTTCTCTTGCTCTGCATAGAAACAAAACTTGAAAAGCAGCATCGATGGGTGGGTGCTTATAGGAGGAACAGGATTTGAAAACAACTGTGTGGGATTTAATTTCATGAGACTCCAGGCAGGGCTAATTATAAACTGCTGCTTGGCAGTGGGAGTAAACATCTCATCTGCGTTGCCTGATGCAGAGGGATCTTGCCTGCAAACCTCTGCCCTGGCTGAGAGGAGAAATACAGTTTTAAGTACATTCTTGTGTCCGCAGCAAGTGGTTTTCACATTCCAAGTTCTCCATGTAGAAAGGCAGTTCTTACAGCAAGGTATGGAGAACCAAGTCTCCTTTCTCTTAGACTTTTTGTGATTTAAATTTCTCCTCTTGGACATGTTGGAAAATGTCAGAATGTGAGCTGAGCAGTACAAGCCTTTTATTGTAGGTAACTAGTGCTGGTGGGGCAAAACCTGGGTTGGACTCAAGTGCTGATAAGCTTAAAAAGCACTTGCAAGGCATGTGGTGACTTTGCTCTGCTATTTAAAATGTTTCATGAACAAGTTTCATTGTGTTGGCCTTCCTGTATTTTCAGTAGCTTCTGTTATGGTTAGGTCTTGAATATTTCTGCTGCTCCTGTTTTCAGTTCCCCCAAGGGAAAGGAGTACAAGACACAGGAGCATAAAATCCAGTTTCCCTGCTGCAAGTTGGAGAAGCTGCTTTTTGCCTGGCTGCCTCAGAGTTTGTGCCCTTCTGGCTACCAACATACTCATCCTCCGAGAGGGCTGCCAAACCCTGTGTAAACTCTACAGAGATGAGAGGCCTCCTTGAGCTCAAGATTTTTGCAGATTTCATAAAAATGAGCAGCTTGGCAGCAGGACAGACTGAAGTTGGGCAATCACCAACCATATGAAATTTAAAGAGAGCAAGTGCCGGGTGCTGCACCTGGGATGGAATAATCCTGATTCTACATACAAACTGGGAGATAACAGACTGGAGAGCAACCCTGTGGAAAGAGACCTGGGGTTTTGGGTTGACGACAAGTTGAACATGAATCAAGAGTGTGCCCTGGCAGCCAAAAGGGCCAACTGCATCCTGGGATGCATCAAGCACAGCGTAGCAGACCGGTTGAGAGAGGTGATCATCCCACCCTAGACCGCTGTGGTGCGGCCCCACCTTGACTATTGTGGGCCGTTTTGGGTACCTCAATATAAGTACATCAAATAGTTGGACTCAATGATCTTAAGGGTCTTTTCCATCCTAGATGAGTCTATGAAACTGCTAGTCTCTCCAGAGTAGGGCAACCAAGATGGTGGAAGGCTTCGAGGGCAAGACTTACAAGGAGCAGCTGAGGTCACTTGGTTTGTTCAGCTTGGAAAAGGCTGAGGGGTGCCCTTATCACAGTCTACACTGTCCTTAAGGCGGGCAGAGGAGGGGGAGGTGCTGATCTCTCTCTGGTGACCAGTCGTAGGACACAAGGAAATTAAATGAAGCTGCTTCAGGGGAAGATCAGATTGAACATGAGGAAAAGGTTCTTCACTGAGAGAGTGGTCAGTCACTGGAACAGGCTCCACAGGGAAGTGGTCATGGCACCAAGCCTCTCAGAGATCAAGACTGTCTAGATGATGTTCTTAGTCATATAGTTTAGTTTTATGGAGTCCTGCGAGGAGCAGGGAGTTGGACTTGATGATCTTAATGAGGCCCTCCAACTCAAGATATTCTATGACACTATGATTGTAAGTTAGTCAGTCCCTGGTAGAGTGGCAGGCAATGTCCAGTGGGGGTACAGGGACAAGGTCAGTGCTGTCACCTGGTCTGTAGGCCTACAACTGGAAAACCAGCTGCAGCATGCAGGCTCTGTGGAACCCTGCCATGTGCAGGATGTTGGGGAGGGAGGGAGAGAAGGAGGACACCAGCATTTTAAGAAATACTAAATTCAAGCAATCTGTTGCTTAAGTCAGAAAGTTATGTTTGTGATGATTCATCACAAGTCTCCTTTCTTGGTGTGTTGCCATATGTGTGACTAATGGAGGAACTTTCCAAAGTTCGTGTTGGTTTCTGCAGTAGAAAGTAAAAATTACTAATAATGTAGCAGTAAGTGTCTAAGAGCAGTGGTGAGTCTTTGCAAAGGACTTCTATTTGTGTAATTGGCTCTCTTGACTACCTTCTAGCTTGCCAGCTTTTCAAAAGCTTGTTTGCTCTTTCATTTTACCTGCTGGTTTTCCCCATCTGACACAAACTATGCAGGTTACTGGGGGCAGCCTACTGAAGAACTGTCTCATGAGATCCTGGTATTTGAGCTATGGACATGGAAGGAAGAATAGCATAGACATTTCTGAAATGTTCATGAATTTGCTCATGCCCCTAAGAGCTAGAAATACCTGCTATATTGTGCTTTATACACAGTGTAACATCTACTTTGTTTGCAATTATTTTTGCTTAGATGAAGAAAATGCTCATAAGCTCAGTTACTCTGGGTGTTCCTTAAATCTGTAGGAAGTGCAGTATATTCCTGCT